TGTTTCTCCTCTCAGTTACACCATTTTGCTGAGGAGTGTAGGCTGCAGTCAGCTGGCGTTTGATCCTTTCAGTTCTACAGAAAGCGTTGAATATCTCAGGAGTAAACTCACATCCTCTGTCTGACCGCAGGCCTCAAATCTCTGTCTTTGTTTCTTTCTCCACTGAACTTTTGGTCTCAAATGCTTCTGAGTTTTATGCAAAGAAATATATAGATCCATGTTTTGCGAGAAAAATCATCAACAAGTACCATTGAATACCTTTTCCCACTGTGAGAGGTTGGTGTAATTGGCCCACAGAGATCAGTATGAATCAGCTCCAATTTCTCTATTGCCTTCACTTGCTCTTCTTTGGAATCTTCTCATGCTGCTGTTTCCCAATATTTCACACAATGCACACCTTAGACTCGTCTTTCATCTTTGGCAATCTCTTAACCATCTATTTTCTCAGCTTCATGTGTATGGCTTTGTTTCTGATGTTACCAAACCTTCTATGCCACATCATTCCCAAATCTTCCTCTTCTGATTTGAAACAGTTCTCAGACCTTGGTTTCTTCTCAGCGTAGATCATGAACATGCGATTGGTCGTCATCTTTGTCTCCACGATCAGTCCTCTCTGATGATGATAGATCTTGCATACTCCATTCTTTTTCATGATCTTTAACGATTTCTCTTGCAATTAACCAATGCTCAGCAAGTTGTTGGTCAGGTTTGGGACGAAATAAACGTCAGTTACTACTTGTATCAACCCTTCGACCTCAAATCTGTTTTTTTTCTTTTTCCTGAAACATCATATCTTTGAACTATTTTCCAAGCGTACTGAGTGCATGAAACTCTCATCTAGCTCCATGAACTTTCATTTCTCTCCGGTAATGTGTATCCAACACCCTGAATCGAGAAACCACACGCCTTTGTCTTCTTCACTTCCAATCTTAGTATGAGCCATCAACAATAGCTCTTCCTCTTCGTCAAACTCTGCAAAGTTCACTCCTTTCTCATTGCTGGTGCACTCAAACTGATAGAGACCTTGTTTTCCACACCTGAAGAAATTATGGCTGATCGATTCACAAAGGATCAACCTCTCCCTCGTCCTCTAACGTTGATTCTTCTACTCTGGTTGTACCATCTTCGTATCCTTTGACCATTCCTTGGTTCATTCTCCACTTGTAAAACTTGTTATTCATTTCTCCTCTCGGTGACTTTGATCTTGTGGATTTGTAGAGACGTATAATGCTTGTGTACCGTAATCTTGTCAATGTCATTCGACTCTTCAATAGAGCATACCACGAAATTGAAGTTCTCCGTGAGACTCCTCAGCATCTTCTCCACGATATTCACATCCTCCATTCCTTTCCCACAGTTCCTTGTGTCATCTGCGGTCTACATAACCCTACCAAAGTACGCAACTCCTTCACCAACACGCATCTACAAGGTTTCAAAAGTTTTGAGAAGCCTTTGAAGTTGTGGTCGTTTTACCCTAACGTTCCTTGATGCTTGATCTTCATAGACTCACACAATTATTTAGCAGTCTACTTCTGAGTGATAGTCTTCAGAGTGGTCTTGTCCATCGATTGGAATAGAGAATTCTTTGTTTTGAGATCCTTCAGCGTAGTTTCTTCAAGCGCCTTTTGTTGTGCAGGACTTGGATTTTTGATCCTTCTCATTTCTTTAAACCCAGAATTGATGATGCTCCAGTACTCCTTCGATCGGAGAAGATTCTCCATTATCAGAATCCAGTGGTCATAGTCTCCATCAAACTTCAGAACTGGATACGTCGTGAAACTCTTGGCTTCCGTCATCACGTCAATAGTCAATGATTATAGCCCTCTTATCACAAGAATAAATTCTCAGATAAGTTCATGGACTGCAAGAAATCTCTCTTTTGCAGGCCGTTTACAATTAATTGGATCAGTTATATAGAGTCTGGCTAATTTCTGGATGTCAGCTTATCGGCTTCCAAACCAGTGTATTCAAGATATTAACAGTGTTTGCTCGCCTTTTTCTGGTCAGGTCTAGTGCCTTCTACTCATAAAGCTAAGATAGCATGGTCGGATGTCAGCAAACAGAAGGATGAAGGAGGGTTAGGATTGAGAAATCTATATGAAGCCAACAAATTTTCTTGTTAAAAGCTAACTTGGAAGATTCTTTTTTCTGGTTCTTCTTTGTGGGTTCAATGGATCCGTAAGTACCTTATTAGAAAATGTTTTTTTGGAGTATTAAAGAGAAGAGTCCCTCTGGTTAGTGGATGTGGAAGAAGCTACAAAAATTCAGATCTTTGGCTTTGCGATTTGCAAAAGTGGAAATAAATAATGGTTCGACTACATCACTTTGGTATGAGAAATGGTCCCCTATGGGTAGATTGATTGACTTAACTGGAGAAAAAGACTGCATTGATCTTGGTATCCCCATAAATGCAACAGTAAAAAGAACTATACAGATTTATAGAAGCCGAATACATAGAATCACTGGCTTGTTACAGACTGAAAAGGAGATTCTTAGTCTTAAGGAACGTGGACTCAATTAGCTTGAGGATACTTATCTCTGGAAACAGGAAAATGAAGATTTTCAGCCAGGTTTCATTACTTCCCAAACATGGAATCTTATAAGACTATAGTCTCCAAAAGTATCTTGGTAGAAAGGCATTTGGTTTCTTGAAGCTACTCTAAAATTCTCTTTTCTTACATGGATTGCGATCCATAATAGGCTAGCGACCGGAGATCGGATCCTCAGATGGAATTCTCAAGCTAACTCTACTTGTTAGCTATGCAAATCTTTACAGAATCCAGAGATTATTTGTGTTTTGAATGCCCTTATTCTGAGGAAGTTTGGTGTGGGACTGTTAGAGGACTGGCGGATAATTGGAGACCGATACAGTGGTCTCATTTGGTTCAGAATCTGGAGAATGGACTTTATGAGAGAACATTGACTTTTCTCTTTCGATATTGTTTCCAAGCTGTGGCTTATGCCATATGGCATGAGAGAAATGTGAGAAGAGTAGGAGAACATTCTCAGCCTCCTTCATGTAGGATGATCAAGTTAGACAAACTGGTTCGGAACAGAATCACCTCTTTGAGAAGAAGAGCAGGTGGAAAACATGAAAAGGCTATAGAAATTTGGTTTGGAAGTAGATGAGTTTGACTCTTATACATTTTCTTAATTTTCTATTGGAGTTTTGTTATTATCTCTCTAAAGAAGTTGCAGTGACTCTGTACAAAGGTTTTTTCTTTGAAGTGAATAAAATTTAAAATTCTTTTCAAAAAAAAAAAAGAAATCAAAATCAAGGATAATTTAGTTTCAAAACCAAGATTGTTTGTTATCCACTAATCTTATTTTCTAAGTATATACTATATAGGATATTCATGCCATTTTACTAACATTTTATCCACCTCCTCCTACATAAAGGAGAGAATCATTCCACCAAATTTCCTTTTTGTAAGAGGTGACACTGGTTTTCAAATCTGGAAAACATTGCCAATTTCCTAGTGGCTTGCTATCTTATGTGAAGGTTCACTTGGGACCCGTAAATGCAACGATTCTCAATCAAATGAGAGTTGAGGTTTTTGATGATGTCGCAACGTCACATTGTTTTGTGACTAATCGTTTGTTTGAAGATTTTGAGTGCAGTTTGACTCTTGTTTAGTTGGGGTCGTAAGTGGCACATTCGCTATCTTGCATGATATATTATCAAACTTTTTTCAAATTTGTGTCTAACCGTATATTCTTTGAACTTTATGTCGGGGCTTAAGCCTACTGGCTCGTATATTGTAGTTTGTACAATGCCACTTTTACTACTGTAATTGCTTAGATGTTTTAATGAAAAAATTTGGTGCACAAATAAAGGTAAATGATATACCATATGTGAAATCGAACAATTAATATCGTACATAAAATAAACATTCTACAGTTACTATTAACTAATAAAACGATGACTTTTTATATTAACATGGGGTATTAAAGATCTATAAAAGGGCACAGATGAATCTCGAAATGAAATGCAATTCAATAAAAGAACTACGCTCCTTATATATGGGAGACTTGATCTTCACTCTCGCTTTCTACTAAAGCTATGCTTTCCAAATTGCTATTCATACCTTATGGAAAGAGATGAATCAAAGAAGACATGGAGAACCGGCATCAACACTGCAAAGGCTCGTGAATTAGTTTTCACAAAAGTGTTTGAAACCGCGTCAGTCTACTGAGGAACTTGGGTCATCCAAAATATGAAGATTTTTTTTTATTTTAGTTTAACTACAAGAATTTAATCATTCAAAAAGTGTATAAATCTGGCTAAACCTCAAATTCATCATGTAAAAGATTTTGGTGAATAAATTTTACATTCGTTCAAAAAATTAATAATTATTTCTTAGGATGAACTAGTGAGATATACATAATTAGCTGTATAATTGAGGAAATAACCATAGATTTTGTTGGGATCTGAGTAAATTTGATACAAAAGTGGACAGTTGACAGGGGGGGGGAGAGCAAAAGAAACCACCATAGAAGATGGAGGAAATAAAGAAATATATTATAATATAATATGTGATCATTAAATAGATTAGTACAATATATGAAGGATGTTCATCTTCTCCAAATCTGAGTCTCATCTTCATTCTCGTTTACTGAATCATCAAATCATTAGCGACCGACATGCTCATGTGATTCACCTTAAGTTCTAGATCCATTAACACTAACATCAATCTTGTCGACGATCTTCTTTGCAACAAACACCGCTTGGCAAATTTCACCATGTTTTGACTTTTTTTTTCTCATATCAATTACTTGTTCTTGTACAATTATTACTCATGTCTACTGTTTCGCTTTTATTTTCTTCTTCTGAAATTTCACATAGATTCAATAAATTGCAGCCACGAACATCAATGTATTCACAAGAGAAGTTTTACAGTTTGAAGTTTCAATCATTGTAGAGAGGTATTTTTTCTACTTTGCAAAAATTTCCAAATATCTTTTAAGACCATGTTCAACGGCAGTTTTAGTGCAATCCTTAAGCTATAATCCTTAGCTTAATCGATTATTATATTAATATCACCTAAATAAGCTAAGGATGAGTCCGTAGTTAAGGACTAAGATGCGTTGGTCCTTGCTGACGTGGAAGAGTGGAGAGAGTAGGGGTTTCGCGACTTTGGGGAAAATCAATTCATTTTCCGTCACCAGAAAGAGACAACGCCTCGCGAAGATCCTCTCTGCTTTCCTCTCTGTCGCTAATCTCCAAATCAGCCGAGACCATGACCACCATCTCACGCGACCTAAACTCCTTCCTCATCGCAAAGATCGCAACTTCCGACGAGTTCTCAGATTCTCTCTCGAGGGTCTCTCAGGCTTTGAAAATCGGTGTCTCTCGTGGGTTAAAGTCTGAGTCTTGCGTTGATTCTGAGAATAAGGAGACGAGTTTTGTAGATAAGGTTTTCTCGAAAGCTGGTTCTGGTTTCTTCTCTGTTGTTGTTGGTAGTTTTGCTAAGAATCTTGTTCTCGGGTTTCGATCCAATTAGGGGGTGACACATGGTGATGATGGTTCTGAGGATAGGACGGGAAAAACTCAGTGGTAGTTGAGTTTGCTTTGTGATGATAAGTGTAGAGAGCTTTTGGCTGATTGTATTGAGAGGTTTAGTAGTACAGCGGTGGCTGTTTATTTAGATAAGACGATGGATATTAATGCTTTTGATCAGATCTTTGAAGGGATGACGAATCCTAAGCATGGGGATAGTGTTAAAGAGGTTCTTGTTTCGGTTTGTAACGGTGCGCTTGAAACTATTGTAAGGACATCTCATGAAGTCTTTACTACAGCTTCGTCAAAGTCTAGTATTGTGATTGAAGAGGTTGAAGAAGATGGTTTCAAGAGTAATAATGGTTGGACTGATGCTATCTCAACTACGTTAGCTGTTCCAAGTAGCCGGAGGTTTATGTTTGATGTAACGGGGAGAGTGACATTCGAAACTACGAAGTCAATTATTGGATTCTTGATGTTGAAGACACTAGAAGGGTTTAGAAGGAGCTTTGATGTGGTTCAGGGAGAGGTTACAGAGAGAGGGCGCCAAGTAGTTGAGTATGTTGGAGCTAAATCTTCTGCTATTGTCACTGTATGGCTCGCTTTGTACTTGCACATCATAAGCCGCTGTGTAAGGAACTCTCCTATTGGTGTAAGCCAACACTTTTAGTACTACTTCAGATGAAGAAGAACGGATTGATTTGTTTGGATATATAAATGTATTGGTTAGGTACACATGATTCATCAGCTTCCTTCTTACTATATTTTTCATGGTTGGATAACACCATTGGACTAAACAATTTTAATAGAGTCCTTAACTATTTGAAAAAAAAAAATACTATAATACTCTTAAGGATTCCAATGGTAGTCTTACCATTGGAGATGCTTTAAGTCCAAATATTTAAGATCCGAAGGACCCGGAACCAAAATATAAAGAACCTGTCCAAAAGAAACAATCTGGACCAACCCGAAGACCCAACCAGAAGACCTGACCGGAAGAAGACCTGACCCGAAGACCCGAACATCCATGCCTAGTAGTAGAAAAACCAAATGCTACATTTATACTCTTATTAACTCATCAAAACACAGAAAATGTAGACATCTTAAAAACACACATAAGCAAGAGTCTTAGCTCTTAAACACACATAAAATGTAATTTTTTAAAAGAACAGAAGCAAGAGTTATCTCTTATGTCTCACAAGTACAAACCAGATCCCTCCCCGTATGCAACAAACGACAACTTTTAGAACTCACTAGTTAGCATAAACAAAACACTTTTAAAACTCACTAACACCAAACGTTCTTAAGCAGAGTCTACGCCATAGAAAAAGATGTCATCATAACGACCGTTGGTCGGAGCCTTCCCTCCAAACATCAACAAACCTTGTTTCCCATCCAGAGACGCAGTCGTGGATGCACTCCATCCACGCGGACTATGACCTTCCTCAAGTTTCTCCCACAACAAACTCTCAGTGTCCAACACAAAAGCCCCATTGTCTAATTTCCCGGGTCCCACATGAGCCTCTGGATCCATCTCAATCTCACCTCCTGATATAATTATATATTTCCCCACGACTGCTAGCGCGAACACGCTTCTCGGCCACGGCTTTTCACCGCTTGTTTCCACTTTAGTCCAGTTACTCTCAACTGGATCGAAGATATGAACCTCGTCCATTTCATCACCGCAAAATCCATACACAACCCAAATCTTCCCATGCACAACCGCAAGCCCTGATCCACCTCTCGCTACTCTGGACTCTCCAGGATTGGGAAGCTCGGACCACTTTTGATCAACAATGTTGTATGCATGAAGTGATTTGAGACGTACCGTTTTACTCACACCACCAAAGACATATATGTTTTCCTCATCAGCAGCCATCGCGTGGAAGCTACGTGGTGTCGGTCCATCATCGACATGCGTTATTAATTTCCACTCGCTCTTAACCGTGTCGTAAGAATAGAAACCGTTGTATTTACGGTCGCGATTGCGGCCACCAAAGACGTAAAGTGTGGTTCTAATGGCTACCATGCAAACTCCTAAGCAAGAGAGCTCAGGAAGGTCGCCGTTTGGAGGAGCAATTGACCACGTGCGAGTCTTAAAATCGAAGACAAAGAGGTGTCGATCGATGTCTATGTTTGGCCTTAACTCTCCTCCAAAAGAATACATTTTGTCTCCAACCATTGCTATAGCGTGCGAGCATCTTGCTCCAGGTTCAAGATCCCTGCCTTCTTGCTTCACCTAAAGATAGTAGTTACCACATTTTTACATTATCAGTCACACATGAAACGATATTCTTATTCACGATATAAGTTTTTTTCTTAAAAGACAATGGAAAATTAAGGGAACAAGGTCTAAGAATATATGACCCAAAAGAAATATTTAACTGTATGTATCCATCCCTATTATGTACGTACCTGGATCCATTTGCCACGCAACATCCGAGTAGGAGAACGAGAAACATAAGCTCCGAGAGAATGAAGAACATCGCCGGAATTTCCATGGAATCCGGTGATTTTGCCGCCTTCGAGGAAGAACATATTCCATTTGGTCTTTTCTATATCCGATATGGTCTTTTCAAAGGTCGGAGAGGTTTTGCCGTTGAACGTCTTAAATGTAAGAGATTTTATAACTCCAGCGAGTCTCTCGTAGTAAACTCTTACAGATGTGATGTAATCGTCTTTATGAACCTCGAACACCTCTGTTCCTGACCCTGACTTCTTTCCGTGCTCCCGTATCTCCCTTTTACCATCTTTTTCGTATTCGAACTTGAGATAACCTATATTGGAATCTACCATACCAACATAAACTTTTCTTACATTATCAATAGCACCGTCATCAAATGTTTCTCCACCCTTTCCTCCTACAGCTTCTATTTTGTTGTGAGAAGAGGAACGGGTTGGGACAAAAGGAGCTGGAGCTTGAGCTGGAGATGGAGCTGGAGCTGGAGCTGGAGTTGGAGTTGGAGCTGGAGAAGGAGAGGGGAGAGGGGCAAAATGTGCACCAAGGGCATAAATAACATTACCGGACCGACCACAAAACCCGACAAGCTTGAAACCTGTCTTTTTGAAAACAAATTTATTACTAGTCACATTCCCAATATCAGGGGAGGTTCTTCCTTTTGATGTAGTAAACTTAATCGACGTAAGCTTGCCATCGTCGCGCTTCCTATCGATGGTTCCTTCCACTACCGTAATATGTTCATTAGGATAATCCACCTCAAACTGCGATAAGATGCTAAAACTTCTTTCAAAATTTTCATAATATATATAGCGAGAGACAACATATTGAAATTAAATCAAGATACATTACCTCAGCTGGATAATCTACTTTCTTCCCATGAGTATGTGGTACCATTCTTCCGCCTTTGGCATACTCAAAACGAAGATAACTCACAAACTTATCATTTCGTCCAAAGAATATTTTACTAACACCATCAAAAGCACCATCGTCCCAAGCATTCCCTCCAATCCCACCTTCAAGGTCAAAGTGCATAAGAGGATAATTGACGGCGAAGAAGTGCGGTCCAATGGCATCAAGAAAATGACCAGCGCGTCCATGGAATCCAAGAAGCTTTCCCCCGTTTTTACTCTCCAGCATGAACTTTACCCCCGATGATATTGCAGATGGTAAAGCAGATGATAATGAAAATGGTAGTTTAGCTGATATTGCAGCTGGTATTCCAGATGGTACTATAGATGATATTCCAGATGGTATAAACTTTTTTTGACCGAATGTGCGAGAGGTAATTCCATGGGAGGTTTTGAAGAATAACGTTCTGATCAGCACTGTTCCATGGAAGATATCTTCTTCGTAGGTTCCACCAACAGCCGTTATATATTCATCCGGATAATTCACCACCGTGAACTGGATTTCATTTTTTCCCCCATTAGAAACAATAAATGAACAAGGCAACAAAGGTATGATAAGAACATATTGAAGAATAGGCATAGTCAGGGTTTATAAACCTCTTTAAGCTTCCCGTTCTTCTTCCCGTGTTCACGGATTTCAGTCTTTCCGTCCTTTTCGTACTCAATCTTGATGTAAGAAATACTTTGGGGAAATGTGTCTTTTCCGACATATATCTTCTTCACGCCATCAAAAACACCATCGTCAAAAGGATTGCCATTATCACCACCCTCGGCTTCCAGTTTTTGAGACATTGTGGCCATCTTCTGACTTCAACGAAAGACCTGAAGAATTTAAATTCTTATTTTCTTTCAAAAACTCAATAACAAACGAGAAACAACATGGTGTGGTACTTGGTAAAGAAAGACTGTAAACAGAAGTAACACAAACTCTGTTTTTATTCTTTTAGCTTATCACAAAACAAAAATAAGTTAATACCCTTGGTACGTAATTTTTACCGAAATATTGTTTCTCCTTTGAGTCTTTGACATAATTGTATACTTACATACTTAAAAACATTAAAAATCATAAAGAAACTCGTAATAACAGAGAAAGAAAGAGAGAGACCTGACTCTTGAGGGTTGTATTACTCTTTAGGTTGGAGGAGATCTGTGAGTGAGAAAGCCATATGGGATATGAATATTTATTGACCGAGACTTCTGTTCAGTTTTTTGTTTTTGTTTTTGGTCTTTTTCAGGGGTTACATCTCTATTATTAAAAGAGAAGTACCCACTAAAAAATACCTCTAAGTTTTCCAACTTATTTACACTCATATGCCACTGAGAATTTAATTAAACTTCCTATTTAAATGCTTGTCTTTTTCAGTTATATTAATTAAACATCCTATTTAAATGCTTGTCTTTTTCAGTTATATTAATGAGTTATTTAATCAACCAAAAAATACATGCATCACTAACATGTCTTTTTCACGTATATTAATGATA